TCTTTCGTGTGCAGGTGTTCACTGTTTTGCCAAGAGTTGCCATGACGTCTATTAATCCGTCATCCGTTATCAGGGACCATCTTTACTCCACGGATGACAGGTTAAAGAGAGGGAGTCCCCCTCCTTTGCTTAAAGGTACCGATGAAGACATAATTATTGATGGAGAGCCAGTGCCCGAGGTGACTCCAATAATTGATCCTGCATCCGTATCAAGGTGTTGTATAGAGAGAGGCCTATTTCCAGCAGTCCCCTTGTTCTTTCAGTATCCATGCGGCACCAGCAAGGGTTGGTCAGAGTGGGTTGATCGGGAGTTGAAGAATCCGTCTACCTGTGACATCCTAAGCCGGGCAGGGGTGCTGGATGCCATCTTTATTTCTAAGGCTTGCGACATCCATATTGAAGCCCGGATGCTTCGACACGTGGTTAGGCGATGGACTACTGAGACACATACCTTTATTTGTTCATGGGGAGAGTTTACCCCCACGCTTGAGGATGTAGCCACCATTTTCCACCTTCCACTTTGCGGCAGCCAAGATCCCTTCCACATTGTACTGACGACAGAGGATAAACTCAAGTTTGAGGCCTTACGGAAGGGTGCCCCAACTTCTCCTAATACTTCCCTGAGGTTCAGCAATTGGATTCAGTTTTTTGGGGATGGTAATCGAGATGAACCTTATCGTCTTGTTGCATTTGTATCATTATGGCTTGGGAGATTCCTCTTTTGTGATTTTTCCTAAGACTGCTTGCACGAAAGGATATTTCCATTGGCCTGGGGTAGCATGATTCCTCTAGGCCCCATGTTCTTGGGGCACCTATACCAATTGCTCGATCAGATTCAGTTTCCAAAGTCTAGATCTCTTGTTGATTCCGACGCGGGTTCTTATGTGCCGGGTAATCTCCCCTTGATATGTCGATGGTCTCGTAGAATGCAAAGAAAGGGCCAAAATTTTTTAGAGTTGCTGGATGATGTTGAGCAATTCATCTTCCGTCCCTATTGCGCTTTGTCAGAGGGATTTAGAAGTATACCCCTCTATGCTGATTCTGATGTTTTAATGGAGGCCTTGGCCATGCCAACACAAGGTTGTCGGTTACGTAGAGAGGCATTATTAAGTGCTGCATGCCTTCCTTTGCTCACATTTGGTGATGACCACTCGGAGGTTTCTGTGCATTATTCCCCTTACCGGGTCAGACGACAGCTTGGGTTTGACCAAGGCGTGCCTTCCCGTCCCAACCATGGAGATTCCTTGACCTTGCACAGGGTTTTTTGGACTGGTGATAGTGTGCCGGGAGACGGCAGACCTCTTGCCCTTGCTCTGGCCAGCCGACAGTGCGTTGGTAGTCTCTCGAAGGCCTACCAAAATTATTGGAACTGCTGCTTTGCCTCATTTAGCCGATTCCATGCTGCCCATTGTGATAGATTGATTCCTACCATCATTCATCATGCCCGCTTAGTGTCGGAAGAAAAAGCCATTTCCGTGAGCTAGGGCTGGCTAGATCAAAGCCTAGGAGTGTCCAATTTGATTGGCAAAAATATGAGAATTCAAATTAGAGATTGAGGATTCTAATGGACACAAAAGATATGCAAAATCATGAATAAAAAAAACTGAACTGATTCA